GCATCAAGGTCCTATTATGTTTAATGTATGTACCAAATTTGAATGAAATCCGTCCATGCATAACTGAGATCCGGGTCCGGAATGGTGAAAATGTGCGATTTTGATGCATTTTCGGCCTTAAAATGGCCGCTATTCGGCTATCGTTAATCGGATCATGAAAAAAATGCATGTGCATATGTCCCATATAATGTGTGATGTATGAGTGAAGTTTGAACTCAATCGGTCCATGCATGTTCGAGATACAGGTGATCACGGACGCACGGACGCACGGAAGCACGGACGCACGGACGCACACAGGGCAAAACATAAGTCCCCGTTTTCGGACTGCGTCCGAACGGGGACTAATAAATTTGAATAAAAGTGAAGATTAAAAATAGAATATTGTGACCAAGTCAGAAATTCATTCTTTGACAGCATGACTGAAAGTGATACTAATATTGTTTTTACAAATTTAATTTATAAACATTTCAATATGACTACCCATAGATTTGTCTATAGTCCGAAATTTTTTTTTATGCCAATGTCAGGATTTGTTTCAGAGTAACGTGATTCTCATAAAAGTATGTGGTGGTGAAATTTTTTGTTTTTGTTACTTTTAACTGTATATTTTCATACAAAAAAGTGACTTAATACTTAATACCATTGTATTGAATAATTAATCTCTGTCAATCATTATTTAAATGTGTATGAAATGCCCTCCAACTTACAAAATAACATTACACAAAGTGTTGCCACAATTTATAGCTAAAGGTGTATCATTAGCAAAACAGTGTCTAAAACTATATTGCTGTTCCATTCTTTTTTTGCAATCACAGTAAAAATGTGGATGTATTGCCCATATTATTCCTATACTTGATACAAATTCATTCACTGAAAAATATTCATTTAATCATTTCAAGTAAGGCTGCGAATTTGCTAAATAGTTTTAACTAAGTGTGTTTGTACAAATTACAAATGATACAATGTTTTTTTACTTGGTCACCATAGCCATGAATCTAGAAACATGTAAACAGCCCTGTCATTGGCTTACATGGTCAGTAATTCATATATATTATCACATGTCATGGGGGGTCATGCATTTCATAGCATCAAATGTAAAGTATAATAAAATTAAAAACAAAAATACAATTACACATCATTTTTTCAAGGCTTTTTTTTACTATTTTCTTTTCTAATTTTCGACCCAGTGAGTATAATCTGGAAAAAAATTATGCAAGTTTATTTTATGACAAATGACTAAAGTTGACTTTGGTTAAAAGGGTTAAAAATCCCCCAGTTTGGGAGAGAGATCTTGACATGAAATCAAATTCAGGTAAACAAGTCAGCGCCTCACACGTCATTTTCAATAACTACTTGACCTTTGGAATGATACACATATAGAGATAAATTATATCTGATCTTTATATAAGGGTACAGTGTACTGCTTTACATTATAGAAACGAGTTACACACTTGTAGAGAGAAAACTATTTCAGATGATAGGCGATTAGAAAAACGTGCATTTCAAAGGAGTTACTGCAACTCACTCATTCATGAAGGCCAATAAAAAACACCATACATGGATAAAATCGTGCAATATACGTAAAAAATCATTTCAACATCCGAAAATATTGTAATACTTGAAGCACAAATTAAAATTTTCAGTAATTAGGGGTTGATATTCAAGATTCAGAACTTAAAGCAGGGGAATATTCCCAGAAATCCTCAATAGTTTTCACATGGCTTCCTGTCCCCCTACATTAATTGTTTCATGCTGAGAGCTATCTGCAATGAATATTACTATCACGGTTCTCCCCAGGGCTTTTTAGCGCCGCAGTGCTCGGCACTATATTTGTGAATCTTGACGCTTTACTTGGGACCTTGGTGCTATGTGTTCCGACCTCGGCGCTATGTGTTCCGACCTCGGCGCTATGTGTTCGGACCTCGGCGCTATGTGTTCCAACCTCGGCGCTATGTGTTCCGACCTCAGCGCTTGATTTTATATTTGACATGCCAATATCAGATGTGCAAAAGGTTTGTTCGCCACGCTGGTCAACCCGACCGGCACTCAAAATTAGTAACCACCACGGAAACACTTTCGACTAGGACTATTGTTTAATTGTTATTATGTACCCATCGACACGCATCCTGCCAGTGGTGGATTATAATTTGTAAACAATAGACCTAGTCGCATGATACGCAGCAGCTAGTCAATTTTGTAAAATTAGCACCTCTTTGTTTGTAAGCAAATACTTTCTGTGATAGACACAGTCTTTAGATTGAAAGATAAAATTCTTTCAAAATCAATTCCACCTTGATATAACTTTGTCAAAGGGAAGTTCACGATCAGTTTACGCTACTCAAGAAAAAAACGTGTTTATTGCGTGATTTGGTTAAATACATTTGAACTGTTATCATCGCGAATCATGTAAAAACTCTTTTTTCAAGACCTTTTTACCTTCTAAAAATTGCAAATCATCTCTTTCGAAAACCATCATGCAGTTTTTAACTGAAATTGATGCCAATACATCACACATAGTAGCACGACTTCGCTTCACTTCCACAATGTAATTTATATGATCACTACCATTCGGAAAACTTCAGATTCTACCGGCAATACCATGCGGCATTTTGATTGGTTAATGGCATTTTTGACCCATCAAGTCAAAGGACACATGCCGGTCAACTAATACGTCACACTCATCATGGCTGGTCTGTGTTTTTTACCGAAGCGATCGAGTGATCAAAAATAATCACTCCCGATATTTACTTTCATTTCATATCAAAAAAAAAGAAGTAACATTTTTTTGCATGGCATCATGACTGAGTAAGAGGAATTATTGGTATAACCGGTTTATAACATCGCAAAGTAAGTTATGTCGCGTCGTAAATTTGATGATCGTTTTGAAGTTTTATCTGTTTGTTCATTACTGTATATGTAAATGTTCTAGAAGTTGATGTTACGAATAATAAATCACAACCGCCAATTAA